GGAAGGTTTTCATAACTTCACAGCACACTTCAAGTATTTTAAGACTTTGACCTCTGAAATATTGATACTTGTGTCTTTGTGCTTGACTGTGTGAACTGTGGCACTGAAACTCTGGCAATTTTTATTAGACAGCCTCCGATGGTCCTGCATGGTGCGTATGCTTGCCTATTGCGTCGTTGAGAGCATTAGAAAAACACGCACGTTCACATTTTTTGCAGCAAAAATGTTGGTCGCTTGGAAGAGAACGTCAAGGCCGGTGTTAGCGAATGTCTTGATATAGAAGTGGGATACCCACTGCTGGTGGGATATGTTTTGGTACAGAACTGCATTTGAAGCTACTATGAACAATCAATGAGAAAATGACAAGAGAAGGAAAACAATCCGAAAAGACAAAGTACAATCTTGTTTTTTATCAGTCTGGTGAAAAAATGCATTGAATGTTATTCGAAAATCCATGAATTACTTTCGTTACCCCCGCCTCGCAATGGTACGGTTGATGTAGCTTTTTCAATTACACGTGGTTTTCCCATTATCTTCCGAAGTTTTCTGTGGAGTATTGTTAGGGTTTGGAATTGTTACCTCTAGTCATATCATCGTTTTTGAAACTGTATTTCCTTTGCCGCAACACAAAAATGTTCATAAGTTTGATAAATAGGCGTAAAAGTTTAGGTTTTATGTCCCGAGATTGAGATAGAGAAATGTGGTCAAATTCCATATAAAGTTGAGAAGAGGATAAGGAATGATGTATTTTTTGCATTTCATTTAAATTTCCTAGTAATATGAACCTTGATTGGTGGACTATCTATAAACCACAACGCACTTGTAGTCTCACGTACTTCCTTAATGAGCCTGAGTGTCGATTGCAGCGAGCTCATAAATTTAAAGCGTCTGTTTAATGTCTGAACATTTAAAACCGGTCTGCCATTTAGGACCGGCAAGGACATTTTATTCTGCGTCACTGCATCATACTTGCAGCGAGTGAGGCGTCAGGCTTGTATAGACGACGCCCCCTTAATTGCATCCATGTTGCCATGCTTGCTTTGTTTGTGCAGTCTTTGCTAATGAATAAAGCTGCACTGTTGTGCTTTGAATCGGAAATATTTATGTACAGTTGACATTACCGTAATAAATAATATTGTAAATTGTTCATAGGGATTTAGTAAAAGACATTTCGAAAGAGATACAGTTTCACACCACTCTAGGCTTTATCTAGTGGAATTCTACTGTTGGCTCCTCTGTTGTTCCAAATAATAGCAACTAACTGCACGAAGAATGGCTCAGTTCAGGTATAGGTTTCGAGTTTAGGATTAAGGATAAGCTCAGATTAACCTGTTCAATCGAGTGTGTATTGGTTCGTGGTGTCAAGAGGGGTGCAGACTACAGTCAAATATATGGCCCTCTGAGGTCTTCTTGTGATTAGCAGCAGTTATTGTAGAAGGCAGTTTTATTATGCCTTTCGAGGGTAAAGTAATTGGTTTTCAACTGATGTTATAATTTTGTTTGTTAAGAACCTTCCTGTTTGGTATCTTTCAATTCTAGTATCACGAAAAAATCGCATTTCATCCGCTCCTCTGACGATGGTTATTTACCAAATTTTTCATCCTATATACCATCATAGTCTTGTTTCTTCTAAAAGCTACAGAGTTACTGACTTACTGCAACCTGCCAAGCCACGCTGGGTTATCCTGGTAGTGTGCTATACTTCTTGGCAATGCAGCTGATGATAAAGTTCTTAATTTTATGGTGTGATTCTTGGCAATTAAATGGGTTAAAATAAGTGAAACGACTGACAATTTGTTATCGTAATTTTTTAACATGGTATAAACAATGAAAACGTGACAAATTTTTATGTTTTATTGTATATTGTTGATGATAATAAATATTCTACCTTGCACTGATATTTTTAGTAAATTTTGGTGTCTATAACCTAACATATTTTATTACCATAAATGGCAAACCTCTGTGATTTTCTAAGAGGCCAAATTCTTGGTGCCCGTATATATTGCAGGTGCTAGTGTGACAGAAACTTCCCAAATGCTTGACGTTTCTGGAGGTAGTGTCTCACAAATAATGACTGCTTTTGAAAGAGAAGGAAAAACGTCCTCAACAAAGCACAGGTCTGAAAGTCGAAGTTGTCGGAGAGAGACCGTCGGCACCTAAAGTGAATTGTGAGGGACAATTGAACGATCACGGGTGTTAAAATTACTGTAGACCTCAATGGACAACTACAGAACCCAGTTTCCGGACTGTCCGCCGAGAGTTGCACCGATCTGGATTCTTTGAAAGAGCTGCAATTAGAAACCTGTTTTCAAGCACAAATACTTCAAAGCGTTTAGAGTGGTGTAAATCCCTCCAAAATTGGTTTGAGTAGTGGAAAAATGCGATTTTCTCGACTGTCTTCTCCCAACCGAAAAACATGGAGGGAGATCTGTGATGATCTGGGGTGTCATTTCTTGAAAATTCGGGAACCAATGATTTCTCATCATGAACGGACCAACAGCCGTGACTATTGAGGAATTTTGGAGTACCAAGTTCATACAATGCTTCAAGCACTTTTTCCGGAGGGTAACTCCATCTTTTAAGTTGATGATGCCTCGATCCATACAGCTGGAATTGTTAAAAAATTGCACGATGAACATTTTAAAGAAGTTGAGCATGTCATTTGGCCACGTGACCAAAATCACCAAACTTGAATATTATCGAGCATTTATGTCGATTTTAGAGATGTAAGGCAGAAGTCGATTCCCGCCGCCATCGTCTTTAAAAGAGCTGGAGGGAGTTTAACTGAAGAACGGGTTAAAATTACTTTGGAAATAATTCACGATTTGTATGAATCAATTCCTCAGAGAATTAACCCAGCAGGCATCTGACGTTGAAACAACGTTGATTATTGGTTGATTTCAGGTTGAAATGTTGAACAACCAAAATTAAACGTCATATCAACGTCGAAATCTGACCAACACTAGAAG